GCTCATTGTAACAAGCATAAGTAAACTTTAACTCCCTGATTTGATGAGCATATTACACTCTTTGCTCAGTATTACCTATTACAGGGCTGTCATCATAAAAGAGATGTTCTCATAAATGCCATAAACCTAATAAAGGCTCTGCCCTCATAAACACCATAAATGTCATAAAAGCACTGTCCTCATACACCCCATACACCTCATGACAGAGCTCTGATCCTAAAAGATCTCTCTGCCTAAAGCCCATGCAGGTCATAAAGGTGTTGTCCTCAGAAAGTTCATACACCTCATAAGAGGCTGTCCTTAGAAAGGCCATGTCCTCATAAACCCCAAAAACGTTGTTGCCTAAAAGGCTGCAGAGGGAAAAAGACTCCAGGCCCATCTAGGCAGGAGGTCAGATAAGCAGAAGAGGTATCCATGAGCCTCCAGGCTCCAGGAATACAAACCCACCCACGTCCCTTCCAACGCAGGGCTTACAGTTTTTATAATGATTTCCACCCAAGGTCCGTCCCGTCCCCGCCCCGGTTCTGCCCCGTTCTACCCCAGGAACGCCCGTGGGGAATTGAGTCTGGGGGAGTTTGGAGCTTTGAGCCGCTGCAACTACAACTCCCGGCGTGCCCCGCGCGGCAAAGTGGGCGGGGCAGGGTCTCTGCCGGCGGTGCGTGCGCACAGCCCCGCGGTGGCTGCCAGGAGAGTAATGGCGGCGACAACGGAATGTGCTCAACATTGTGAGACCTTGCAGGGGCTGCGGCGGGGCTGGGGATGAGCTCGGGGGCTGCGGGGAGCGCGGCTGTGGGCGGGAAGGTTGGAGGGCTCGGCAGAGTGGAGAGGAGGGGCTCGGGGGTTCCGAGGAGGTTTTAAGGCCCGTGAAGGGATCTCAGGGGGTCGCGGAGGGGATTTGGTCTCCTGAGGGCGCTCAGAGGGAAGGGTGAAGGTGCCTGAAGGGGTTTAGGGGGTCCCTGAAGGGGCTGGGGGACTTGGAACTCTCCCGGGGAGGGAGGGGGGGGGGACACATTTAAACGCCATGGCTGCACTGCGCAGGCGTCAGCGGAGTCCCCAACAGCAAACTTCAACTCCCATTAGGCTTTGCGCTGCGCCGCCATTGCCACTCGTGCCACAGCGCCCCCTGCCGGCTTGGTGGACCAACCCCAGGGAAAGCGGGTCCTGATGCTCCCCCCGAACCCCAGAGACCCCCAAAACTCAGCACACAGAGACCCCACAGGAAGCATAGCACGAGGTTCCCCTTAAGCCTATCAGCGGGGTTCAAGGGATTCCCCCGCTCTCAGGGGAGGGGTCCTGCCGGTGCCACCCAAAGTCTTGTGAGGGAGATGAACCACATCCGGTAAGGGGATCCCAGTGCCCCCAGTATAGCCCAGTGACCTCCCAGTGGCTCTCAGTATGGCCCAATGATCCTCCAGTGAGCACCCAGTAACCCCCAGTATGGCCCAGTAACCTCCCAGTGTCCCCTCGTGTGTCCTGGTAATCCCCCAGTAATCACCCAGTCCCTGCCAGTGCCCTCCCAGCATCGCTCAATAACCCCCCAGTCCCTTCCAGTGCCTCCTGGTTCCCCCCAATGTGTCCCAGTATGCCCCAGTAATCACCCAGTGCCCCCCCCAAAGCCCCCCAAGTGTCCCCAGTGTGTCCCCAGATGCCCTTGACCTTTCTGTGAGCATGGGGGAACAGGGCCGTTTTGGGGGTCAGAGGGTCCTGGGGGGCCTTCTAGGGGGAGATGGAGGGTTGGGGACATCAGGGATGGGGACAGTGGGGAGGGGTTTGGGGACAGTGGAATGGGGGGTTTCAAGGGAGGAATTGGGGCCATGGGGAGGCCCTGGGAACACTGGAGGCACCAGGGGAGTCTCAGGGTGCCAAATGGGAAATTGAGGACACCAGAAGGGTCTTGGGGACACCAGGGGGGTCTCAGGACTCACCTGGTTATGGTGCTGCCCCTCCTGTCCCCCCCAGGCCCCAGTGAGGACCCCCAAATGTCCCCTAACCCCCATTTTTCCTTTAATCCCCTCCCCCCACTCACATCCCTTTGACCCCCCAATGATCCCAAGACCCCTTTTAACTCCCCCAAATGCACCCAGAGGCCCCCAAAACGCCCCAAATCCCAGTCAAACACCCCCCAAAGAGGGATCACCTGGCACCCTGGCACAGGAACACACTGGGCTCTACTGGGGGCACTGGGGGGAGCTCAGGTGTCCCATGACAACGTGGCCCAGCTCCAGGAGAGATCAGGGGGCAGTGAGGAGGTCCTGGTCTGTCCTGGTCTGTGATTCTTGGCCTGCACTCAGCGCTGGGGAGGCCACCCCTGGAGTGCTGTGTCCAGCTCTGGGCCCCTCAGGTCAGGAAGGACATGGAGGGGCTGGAGCAGGGGCAGAGAAGAG